TTTTTTTTTTTTAACCAGGGATGGAACTCAGGCCCTTGTGCTTGCAAAGCAGGTGGTAGAATCACTGAGCCAAATCCCTGGCCGTTATTTTTTTTTTTTAAACAGGAAAAACAAATGACCTATCCTTTGTAACTCAGTAATAGTAATGCCTTTAGACGTTAAAATGATTCTCTTAACAACCTATAGTACAACATGAAATTTGGGTAGTTTTTCCAGATATGTTCAAGATGCCACCAAAATTGAGTTTTTAACGTTAACGGGTTGTCTGTGCAACCACTGGTTTTTCATTTCCAAGATCCCATTATGTGTATATTTGGCTGTAAAACAAACACAAACCTCTACCCTCCCCCCAAAAAACCCTGCCTGATTTTTGACCATGTCTGTGGTTACTCTGTGCTGTAAGCAACATTATGTCAGTTGTAGCATCATTTGAATGAAAATTATATATGTACAAAATAACACAAATGTAGATATATATGAAATATTATGAAACCAATATATTTTTCTCTGCTTGTGTTTTAATGAGACCATCAATACCCCTTTATGTGTTGGAGGTTTTTAATTATAATGTAGAAAGTGTCAGACTTGGAAGTGATAGAATGGTGTTTTCCTCACTCGTTTTACCAATTATCTTACTTTTTTGTTTTGTAGATAATGAGCTTCAATCCTCAAGATCTTCGGAGACGTTTGTGGGTGATTTTTCCAGGCGAAGAAGGTTTAGATTATGGAGGTGTAGCAAGGTAGTGATAATATGAATACTCAGAACTTAGTTCCTTTCCTCCAAAGGTATCATTACACTTTGCTTGCAAGTATTATTTTCAGTCTTCTATTTTAGCAAAATGAAATATAGCAAATATTTGCAGCTTTTTTTGCTGAAGCTACAGAATTTTAACAAACATTAATTCAGCACTTTCTTTCTGAGGTATTGTTTCTGTCCCCCATATCATTCATTTAATCCTCAGAATAATCCTGTGAGGTAGAATTTTATGGGTGATGAAGAGGTTTAGATTCATCTGAGACAGAGTAAGTTGTAGGGCCTGGATACACGTTTACATTGTCTAACCAGTAACCATTGTTCAGTCAGTCACTTTTATATCTGTCCCACAGAGCACAGAAGCCCCTATAAGTGATAAGGTCATTTTCTTCTGTACAGAATACTGATACAGGTAATAGTGATCCCATTTCCAACTAAGATTAATAATTTGTCCAGAGAACATAGAAGGCTGTATCAAGTAGGAGTTGAAATATTAATTCTGCTTTCTTCATGTTGGAGCTTCTACTGAAACCTTAGGAGATGGCCTCAGGCAGGAAATTGCTTATTATATAATAATATGTCATACCATTATAAAAAGTCACATAGCAGTAGCAATAGGGAAAAACAAGGGACTTTGGGATCAAAACTGGATTTGAATATTTCTCCCCTCAATACTGAAACCCTGGAGAAGTATCTTCATCTGTAAAATAAGAATAGTAATATGTGTCTAAGATTGTTATATAGAGTAGAAATGATGTTTTTTAATAACTTGATTCAGAGAGCCTCACTCTTTGTCATCACTAATTGGTGGCTATATTTTAGTAGTAGTTCTTTCTATTATGTTATAAAATTTCAATAAAACTATCTCAAAATCTAGGAAGTAATCACAGATAAGTAATAAATATTAGTAGAAATACTTTAATTTTGTACAAGTTAAAAATAGTTCAGGAGAATAACATGAATACTCAGAACCTAGTTCCTTCACTTCAAAGGTATTATTACACTTTGCTTGCAAGTATTATTTTCTTAATCATATGTTGAGCAACTAGCAATATTAAACCAGGTAACAATATGAAAGTATTACCAGATTATCATCAGGTGCCATGAACTAAGAAGAAGGCAGGTGTAGGACACAGAGGATATTACAATATATTGCCTCGTAAGTGTTTTACCAGAATTCACCCCATTACAGTTAATATCCATAATCTTGCGTTAAGTTGCATTGGTACTTTTTAAACACCCAAATTGGAGTATTTCAGAGTGTTTTTCTAATACTTCAGCAGCTGAAATTAAATGCTTGCTATAGTACCTCTGAAGTTGAAAGATTTTTCATATTCATCGAAGATGTGGGGAGTAGTAGCACTCTTTGAGGATCAGTGTAGAACTTAGTTAATACATGGAATATTTGATGCATTTTAGCTCTTCTAATCACCTGAGTTAATGAATTTTAAACTTACTTATGTATACTGTTCATCATTTCTAAGACTAACATTTTCACATTTTGATGTCTCTGAAATTGTGATATGTTGTTACAACTGGAAAAAATTTTAGCGGTTCATGAAAGTTGTCTTTAAAGTCAGTCATGCACTGGGTGTGGTGTCGCACATCTATAATCTCGGCATTCGGGAAGCTGAGGCAGGAGGATGGCTGGATTCGAGGCCAGCCTTGGCTACATAGTGAGTTCAGGGCCAGCCTGAACTACAAAGCAAGACAGTGCCTCAATAAATAAACAAACAAACAAATAAATAAATAAAATCATGCCTTAGATTATTTGAAATAAGCAGTATATAAATCATCTCTATAAAATAGATGTTTTTACCAGAAGCAAGAAAATTCAACAGATTACCGGCTGAGAAAACTATTATCCTCTGAGGCATACAGATTCCAGAGAACTTTGTAGCACTGCTCTTTAATTTGTTTTCATGGTTACTTAGAAACTGTTTCATCTTGACTTCTCTTTTTATTCCAGAGAATGGTTCTTTCTTTTGTCGCATGAAGTGTTGAACCCAATGTATTGCCTGTTCGAATATGCAGGGAAGGATAACTACTGCTTACAGATAAACCCTGCTTCTTATATCAATCCAGATCACCTGAAATATTTTCGTTTTATTGGCAGGTTTATCGCCATGGTAAGTGCAGAGAACTAGGTAGGCGTGATTGTGCATACTTGTAATCCCAGCACTTGGGAGGCTGAGGCAGGAGGATCACCACAAGTTCAAGGCCAACCTGAAATACATAGTGAGACCCTGTCTCCAAAAAACCCAAGTAAATAAATAAATACATAGAACTGTGCATTTACTTTGTTAATTCAATAATACTGATTGTTCTTACATATGCCATAACAGATCATATGATAGGGGGAGTACTATTTAATGAAGAATTCACCTAACCATTTGAAATACAGTAACTTTTATACAATTATCTAAAATGATTTTTTTCTTCTGTTTTTATACAGGCTCTGTTCCATGGGAAATTCATAGACACAGGTTTTTCCTTACCGTTCTACAAACGTATCCTAAACAAACCAGTTGGACTTAAGGATTTAGAATCTATCGACCCTGAATTTTATAATTCTCTCATCTGGGTTAAGTAAGTCTCTCTTTACATTTAATTTATTAAAATACAATCGACATGATTTTATTATGCTATTAGTAACAAAGTATGGGCATGTAATGGATATATACAATTTAAGTGATCTGTACATCAAATCTGTCTCGTTCAGTGTGATAACATTTAGAGAAGTGTATCCAAGACCAGTAATGGTGAACCAAGGGCTCAAACTGCAACCCAAAACTCATTTATTACAAAATGCTGGGCCGGGGATTTAGCTCAGTGGTTCTGCTGCCTGCCTCACAAGCACAAGGACCCAAGTTTGA